CTTTGTCGTAGCATTTGACATAAATGATGTCTACTAAAGAACATAAAGAAATCATTGTAAAGAGCTGATGGGGGCTCCAGTGACTAAGTGAGTAGTGAGTTCAGACTCAAGTAATGTCAAGCAAGTGTCGGTGACAGGTGGTTTAGATGGGTGGTCACTGGGGTGTGTCCTTGAGCAAGGCATGACAATCCTAGCTCAAAATACAGGGCGCTGCTACCTGCAATGGCATGAATGTAAATTGTTCTGTACTGGAGTAATATGTATGTATTTGTGCATGTATTTATATATGTATGTATTCATAATTATGTATGTAGGTATGTATGTTTGCCATTGTAAACCAAATTGTCCCTCTCTCTCTCTCTCTCACACACACACATACACACATACACGCACACACAAACACTCACGCACTCACACACACATACACACATACACGCACACACAAACACTCACGCACTCACACACACATACACGGACACACATACACGCTCACATATCCTTCTCCCTGTCTTTTCCATACACAAGCAGGCACCCACAAACACACACACCTTAAGTACAATAATAATAGCACACACGCGCACACACAAAGATAATAATTGTAACAGGATATTAAAATACTCCTGTCACTATATGGGTGATCCCACCGCCCACCTATACATGGATTATACGGGGTGCATGGATTATACGGGATGCATGGATTATACGGGGTGCATGGATTATACGAGATGCATGGATTATATGGGGTGCATTGATTATACTGGAGTGCATGGATTATAAGGGGTTCATGTATTATACAGGGTGCATGGATTATAAGGGGTTCATGTATTATACAGGGTGCATGGATTATACGGGGTGCATGGATTATACAGGGTGCTCAAAGGGGGATATGGTCGGTTTGCTAGTCAGACTGAGAGCGTAAAGCGGCTATCGCGGCACAAGCCGATGGCGTCCGACTCGTCGCCTTGTACAGGGTGCCCACCACGGCTGCATCCTATACGTTCTTATACATGTACTCACTCTTGACTCTCTAGACTGCATCCTATACGTTCTTATACATGTACTCACTCTTGACTCTCTAGACTGCATCCTATACGTTCTTATACATGTACTCACTCTGACTCTCTAGGCTGCATCCTATACGTTCTTATACATGTACTCACTCTGACTCTCTAGGCTGCATCCTATACGTTCTTATACATGTACTCACTCTGACTCTCTAGACTGCATCCTATACGTTCTTATACAAGTACTAACTCTTGACTCTCTAGGCTGCATCCTATATGTTCTTATACATATGTACTAACTCTTGACTCTCTAGGCTGCATCCTATACGTTCTTATACAAGTACTCACTCTGACTCTCTAGGCTGCATCCTATACGTTCTTATACAAGTACTAACTCTGACTCTCTAGACTGCATCCATACGAGGTGATTGTCTCCTTTGTTCCGACACTCGAATGCGGGCGGGCATTGTCATGGAGGAAAAAGAACAAAAACTCTTTCCATGGTCCACATTTGGTCTGACTTGTTAAATTCTCGCTGTCGGTACTTTCATTGTTTCAGTACAGGCTTCAGAGTTGGCAATGGGCGGTTGGCGGGTGCTCTGGTGTGGTTTGCTTCTTCTTTCCTATCATCAAACATCTATCGTCCTTATCTCCCTTTCTTCTTTTTTATGTTTGTTACTCTCTTGTAACACCTCTAATCTTCTGGCGCTCATATGACCTTATGCAGTTGCGAGAGCCGTAAAACCTCTACTAAAACTAAAACTAAGTGTTGACAATTTTACTCCACGTGATATAACTTCTATGAGAAGCACGCCATGAGGGTCTCAAAACACGGTTGCCATGGGGGGTTTTTCGGCCGATTTCTCCTTTTTTTAAATTTAAAAATAAAATTTGGGGGACGTAGGGTGTCGCCATTCCATTGAATGTCTCTTTGATAGTGGTTATTTCAATAATGGACCTATGTCTGTGGGCCGTTTGGTGGGTGTTTGGAGGGCGCACTAGTAGGCCTACCTCTTTACTTTTCCTCAGTTGTTTCTGCCGGTCTGTCTGTCTGTCTGTCTGTCTGTCTGTCTGTCTGTCTGTCTGTCTGTCTGTCTTTTCCCCTGCACTTTATGACCGCTGTTGCGTCGATGTGTTTCTCTTTACTACTTTTCTCAAACGAACCCATGTTTCCTCATCTCTAGTTATAGTGAGTCTTTCATAAGACATTCCGTCTCTTGTGGGTGGTTGGCGGGTGCTCTGGTGCTGTCTGCTCCTTCTTTCCTTTAAAAAATCTATTGCCTCTATCTCCCCTCCTTCTTTTTGTGTGTTTGTTACTCTCTTGTAACTCCTCTAATCTTGGGCATTTATACTACCTTATTGTGTTGCAAGAGCCGTAAAACTGTTACTAAAACAAAACAAATTTCTTCTCTTCCACGGAGCTCCAACAGCAATACACCCTTACTTCGCCCCCCCCCCCCCCCCCCCCCAGGGCAGTGCCACAGACGAAAGTGTCTTTAGGCCATTCCCAAAGGGGAGACATTAACATGATGGTGATTGGTCTTTTGCGCAGTAGAATTGTAGATGGGCTGATTTATCAATGTCATGCTCATAACCGTGCCGGAACAACATAGGGGGAACTGCAGTTTTTTCTTTCCTCATCGTTACTATCGTCATTTCTCCTCTACTTCTTTTGTATGTTTGTCACTCTCTTGTGACCCGCTATTTCTTGGGTGCCTTGATAGTCAAACAGACTTTGTGCTGTTGAGGCTAGTGAGATGAACAGAGTAAGTCTGATTCCCCGTTCGGACTTCTCTGTTGGCATCCACCCTTTGGCGCTCATATGACCTTATGCAGTTGCGAAAAAAAATGGTGAAATGGTATGGGGTTTAACGCCCCTATCAACACTATTAGGTTATTTAAGAGGCGGGACCTCCTTGTTTAGCGTCCGTCTCCGATAGGACCGATCCAAGTGGGAAATTCGTGTAAAATGTCTTTCCCAGGGACACAACGTCGGGCCGAGCTGAGGCTCGAACCCCTAAACCCGCATGCAGTTGTAAGCGCCATAAAACCTTACTAAAAACAAACAAAACAACCTTACTTTCAGTCTTGTGGGCCGGGGTCAATTGCTTCGGAACTCAACGGGCACAGACGAACTTTGGGAAAACCAATTGACTTAACAAGGTCATAAGCACTTCCGTGACTAACCTGAACCTCCAGTTATACTGCGATTTCATTAAGTGAATTTCGCCCGTTAGCCCTTATCACTTCTCCAACTCTAGCATTTTTTTGTTGTTAGAGGTGCTGTTGTCACTGCTTGAAGCTGAAAGTGGACCGGGTCGATGGTTTTCTGACAAGCACGTGGATATGACATCTTCCTATATTTCCGGTCTATTTTTCCAACGTCTGACTTACGTATACAGTGCTGGAATCTAGAGTTTGGTCCTTGTAAACACTTTGGAGCGTCTTACGTGAAGAGTTTGTGTTGAAAAGTACACGTGCAAGTACTTGTGACCCGAACGTCATAAAATTGCGTGCACAATAATTGTGAGAAAAAAAAAAGAAATAAAAAGGCGCACAACTTGCCTTACTTTTTGTGTCCACCTCTTTTCCAGAGTGGGGGTCTCGGTCCGACGTTGTGTTATTGGGAAAGACACTTTTCACAAATTTCCCATTTGGTTCAGTCCTTTTGGTAATGGACGTTTTAATCGGAGGTCCCGCCTCTTAAGTAGCCCAATAGTACTTTTTAAAAGTTTTAGTAGAGTTTTTACGGCGCTCGCAACTGCATAATGTCATATGTGAGCGCCAGCCGATAGTGTTGATAAGGGCATTAAACCGTTAAACGTATGTCATTTCGACATTTTTTTCACCAGACATGTCAGAGTTACAGTTCAAAGAGATAGTTTATAACTTTCAATAACTAGAGGTCTTGTATGACCCCAGTTAAAACTGAAGCTCACATGACGTCATGATAATGTATTCGGCGAACCAGTTCATCCCCTTTTCAATTTTCCAGCTCAGTCTCCTTGAGGGATATATTATAGATACTCTGCTGACCTTTAGGTCCCGCTTCAAACAGGGTCATTCATTTTTCACATTCAGTTGAATATTATTATGATTTATCGATCACCCGTCCAAGACAATCACCTGTACAAATAGACCACTTCCCATTTCCTTCCTCGTGTTTTTAAAAAATATTATTTAAAAAAATAATATTTAAAAACAAAACAAAAAACAAAAAAAACAAAACAAAACAAAACAACCCCCCCCCCCCCCAAAAAAAACCCCATATATGTATGTATTTGTGCATGTATTTATATATGTATGTATATATAATTATATATGTATGTATGTATGTATATTACCTCTTGTACCTTCGAAATCGGAACTTAGCTGCCTTTAGGCAAGTGGCCATAAGAAGTAGGAAAAACGGTTACCTACGTAAAAATCAGTTGCGCTGCGTATTGAAGAACCAGCAGCCGACTCCCCCTGAAATCTAGCAAGGGGATGCAAAGAAGAAAGAAGACTACCAGAAACAGCAACAGGTGGTGTTCTGTACAGGTAGAAAGTTGTGAGCCCTTCACGTAATGAATACTTTTATCCCTAGTATGTCTTTAGTTGACAGTTATCATTATGAGATACCAGTTGAATGTAGAAGGGTCTGAAGAGTTTTGATAACCGTTGAAGAATGCTGAGGGTGGTTGAAAGGCGCCACTGGTAGGTCCTATTTTTTACTTTCCCTCTTTTGATTTTGCCTTTCAGTTTTGCTTCTTCCCTGCACTAAATAACAGCGGGTGGTTGGAGGGCGCTACTGGTAGTTGCTAATTCTTTCCTTTCCTTCTGATGTTTCTGTCTGTTTGTCTTACTTTTCCCCACCATTAGATGGCCGTGATCACGTCGATATGCTTCTTGTTACTCAAACAAACCAAACAACATTATTATGTCCACGCCCTGCTCTGTACTCCATCTCAGCTACTCAAAGAGTCTGTAATCTTCTCACCTTTATCTCTATATCAGTCTCCTGATGTCTTGACGGGGACGAGACGATACAAAACTCGAGTGAGATAAGATGCTAGACATGAGTGTACGGCTGTCACTGCAACGTTTATCAAGAGTGTGATAACGGATATATACGGATATTGTACTCCACTCTATCGTAACGCCATGAAGTTCGGACAGGTGGGACATTATTTAGATACGACATTGCGAGTTTGTGCCCTGTGGAAGGATTCTGTTTCTCTTGGATCATTTTTTTTGACATTTACATCAAATCTTTGCTGTTTCAGTGAGGTTTTTTGTTATTTAGTATTTTGTAGTATTCTTAGCATTCTTTACTGGTAGTTTATGTTTGGAAGACTTTCATTGTGTGGGATTTTAAGCTGCTTTGAGTTTTTCGTAAGTGGTCATGTTGTCTGTAATATAATGATATAAAGTACATATATAAAGCATGTGATGCTTGTCTGGTCACCCCAAAAGAAATGAACAATAGAAAAACAAAACAAAACCAACCAACCGACCGACCGACCAAACAACCAACCAGCCAACCAACTAACCTAACAAACAGACAAATAAACAAACAAACGAACAAGCAAGAAATAAAACCCATGCAAGCGAACAAACAAAAATAACAAAGTAAGAAAGAAAGCCAACTAACTGAAAGCCCAAGAATCAAAAGAAATTTCTCCACATTAATGTAATCTATTTTTAAAACGAAGTGATTTATTATGATTAATAGATTGAATTGATATCACCCTAAAACCAACTACTGGGTGGTTGGAGGGCGCCCGTGGTAGGTCCTTCTTCTTTACTGTCCTTACGTTGTTTCTGTCTCTGTCTGACTTTACCTCAGCACTAAATGACGTGGGTGGTTGACGGGTGCTCTGGTGTGGTTTTCTCCTTCTTTCCTATCAAACATCTATCGTCCTGATCTCTCCTCCTTCTTTTTTATGTTTGTTACTCTCTTGTAACACCTCTAATCTTCTGCACTTATATGACCTTATTGTGTTGCAAGTGACGGAAAACTCTTACTAAAACTAAAAATGACTATGATTGTGTGGATGTGTTTCTCTTCACTCAAACAAAAAAATAAACCCAAATAACCAAAACTTGCGACTCTTTCTTACAGCTGTTGTTGAGCTGAACTAGCCGGCAGTCTTCCCAGTGACGGAGCGAGTGTAGCGGTGGGCGAGGACGATTCTCTCAGCTGTTTCCTTATTGAGAGAGAGAGAGAGAGAGAGAGAGAGAGAGAGAGAGAGAGAGAGAAAGAGAGAGACTCGATCCTTGAACCATGGCCACCCCTGGCCCTGTGCAGAGCGTCAGCTCTTCCTCCTACTCCAGTGCGGGCCACCATCATCATCAACGCCAGCCGGTGGTGGGAGATAGACGACAGTGAGACCAAGCCTCTGCTGCCTTCCTATGCAGACGTACAGAGAAAAAAGAGGGAAGCTGAAGGTAGAGAATACTCTCTCTGTCTCTCTCTCTCTCTGTCTCTCTCTCTCTCTCTCTCTCTCTCTCTCTCTCTCTCTCTCTCTCCCCCTCTCTCTCCCCCTCTCTCTCTCTCTTTCCCTCTCTCCCTCTCTTTCCCTCTCTCCCTTCCTCCCTCGTCCTCCCTCTCTCTCTTTTTCTCTCTCTTTCTCTCTCTCTCTCTCTCTCTCTCTCTCTCTCTCTCACACACTCTCTCTTCCTCTTCCCCCCCCCTCTCTCTCTCTCTCTCTCTCTCTCTCTCTCTCTCTCTCTCTCTCTCTCTCTCTCTCTCTCTCTCCCTCTTTCCCTCTCTCACTGGTGGCGGGGAATGGGCAACGTGAACCCTACCGGAACTACACGGTCACAGGCCAGTTAGGTTATCCAGCCTCATGAAAACCCCTTGTAGTGTACCCACCTATCCTCAACATGAATGGCCCCCTCTCAAGGTGGGCAGGCAGTCCACAGACACCCCAGTCTACAATGCCATGACAAAAAGAACAAAACGACTTGCGAGCTCGGACATCGAAAATCGTTGATTAAAAACCATACATTTCCAGTTTCCACAGACTCTCAAGCTATTGAAATCACTAAACTTTGGCAGCCATTTTCTTGTTGATTTTACCTCTCACACTAGGCGATACCACCTTCAATCGCTGATATTTCAACTTCTGTTTATGATCGATGGATTTTCTTGTTGTTGCCAAATGCAAGATAGATAAATGTGCTTCAAGATGATATTAATAATTCTATATACCCAAAACGTTGACCAGTGCCTGATCCACTACACCATAACATAATATTTGAAATCTGATTCTCATGACACATCGTTTTCTTAGAATTACAAAGTTTTATCTGCTCAGTACGTAGTTTTGAGAAATTTGACATCAAAAGTTTTGAGTTTCATAACATGTCAAACTTTTTCAAATGCAATTCTTTGAATATCTTGATAACGATTGTGAATAATCTTACGATTTTGATAGAGCAGATGCCAAACATTTGGTTTCTGACCTCGTGGTCTTTGTTATTCAAAAACGATTAAAAATGTCAGATAGAGCAGAAGGAACATTTGGTTTCTGATCTCATGGTCTTTGTTATTCAAAAACGATTAAAAATGTCAGATAGAGCAGAAGGGACATTTGGTTTCTGATCTCATGGTCTTTGTTACTCCAAACGGCTAAAAATGTCGGATAGAGTTTTGTAATTCTATTAAGGTAGCAACATATGACACAATCTGATTCCCCTTGCGCTGACCTCGACAGCAGGAGCGGGATGCATCGCGACTCGCCATGTCCTGGCCCTGATGGCTTTCCTCGGGTTCGTCAACGTCTACTGCCTCCGGGTCAACCTCAGCGTGGCTCTGGTTGCCATGGTGAACTCCACCAGCGACAGCAACACCACCAACAGCAACGAGTGCCCGGACCCCGATGGAGGCAACTCATCCTCCAGCTCAAATGTAAGGATGTTTTTTTGTTTTTTGTTGTTTTTCTTTTTTCTTTTTCTGCCCCTTTATATGGGATGCCCACTACGGATGGGATCGGCCGATCGGGCCGATCGCCCTACTCGATCGCCCTACTCAATCGCCCTACTCAATTGCCCTACTCGATCGCCTCAAAAACAAACGTGTTTGTTTTCAGTTTCAGGCGATCGAGTGTCGGGCGATCGACCCGATCCAGCCATAGTGGGCACCCCGTATTACTTTACACCTCTTTCTTTTTTCTTTTTCTGTCCCTTTACTTTATAGTTCTTTCTTTGTACTTTTTCAGATTCTCTCTCCCCCCCCCCCCCCCCAGCCCACCCTCTTTTTTTTCTCCTCTTTTCCTCTTTCTGTCTTTGTCTTTCTGTCTCTCTACGTACCTCTTTCTTTTTCTCCCCGACTGCCTGTCTCTTTGTCTTTCTGTCAGTTTCTACCTCTTTCCTTTTCTCTCCCCTTCCCCTTCCTTTTGTGTTCGAAAGAACCCAGGTGATTGTCTTGGGCAGGTGCGGGTGGTTGGCGGGTGCTCTGGTGTGGTCTACTTCTTCTTTCCTATCAAACATCTATCGTCCTTATCTCCCTTTCTTCTTTTTTATGTTTGTTACTCTCTTGTAATTCCTCTAATCGTCTGGCGCTCATATGACCTTATGCAGTTGCGAACGCCGTAAAACCTCTACTAAAACTAAACTTGGGCAGGTGGCTGTGAGAGCAGGTTCAGCTGTACTTTTCTTCTTGACACCGGGCTACCTGAGAACGACAAAATGTCAGTTGTCAGTGTCAGTGTAACGCTGTGCTTCTGTTCACTCCTACAACTCCTGGTGTCACACTTTTATAAGTGGGTGGTTGTCGGGTGCTCTGGTTTGGTTTGCTCCTTCTTTCCTGTCAAAAATCTCTCCTACCCCCCGGGGTGGTGCTACTGACTGAAGTGTCTTTAGGCCATTCCAAAAAAGGGGGGGGGGGGACATTACATCTCGAGTTCTTATGCACAGTAGAATTTTAATTGTAAATGGGTTGATTCATCAATGTCATGCTCATAACTATGCCTGAACTGCAACAGAGAACTGCTGCTTTTTCTTTCCTAATCCCTACTTTCGTCATTTTTCTCTACTACTTTTGTATATGTATATCACACTCTTGTGACCTGCTATTTCCAGTGTGCCTTGATAGTCGAAGCAGACTTTGTGCTGTTTTAAGCTAGAGAGGTGAGCAGAGTAAGTCTGATTCCCTGTAAGGATTTCTTTGTTGACATCCACCCCTTGGCACTCATATGACCTTATGCAGTTACGAGCGCCGTAAAACCTTGCTAAAACTAAACACCTATCCTCCTTGTCTGTCCTCCTTTTTTTGGTATGATATTCTTGAGTGACATTCTAATCCTTGGCACTTGTATAACATATTTGTGTTGCAAATGCAGTAAAACTTTTATTAGAACTGAACTACTATACTAAAGCTTTCTTGCAATTACATATTTACATCATTCTTATAATAATTAACCACATTATGTTGAGGTAAGTACACAAGTTTAGAAAACAGAAAGGTGCTGCTGTCTGCAGTAAGTTGTAACATTTGTGATAATTGGTCGCTTTTAAGCACAAGGGGGCTATCCCGAAAAATGCTGTTTTAAGAAAATCGATGGTAACGTTTTTGCCCCTTGTTCAGTTTCTTTAAAAGACAAGGAGAGTTTTCTCTATAACCAAACAAATATACACACAAATGACACCAAACTTCTCCTATAGAAAGGGCAATGCCCATTTTTGGTGTAGGTCAAGATTTCTGGAAACCCCCGAAATCTGGGTTAGCCCTGTTGTCCTTAAAAGCAACCAATTTCAAGTTGCTTGCTATTGTTTCCTTGTGGTAGCCAGTTGGGTGGACAACTTCTCTTCCACCATGGATGTTAAAGGCCATCATCATCAGTTTATATTGGACCAAAAAGTTAAACCTGCTCTAATTGCCGCCTGTATAAGACAACCACCTGTCACCTGTCTAAGACGATCACCTGTATAAGACGATCACATGTCTAAGACAATCACTTGTTTTTACTTTATAGTGTCATTGTGTAAGACAGCCACCTGTATAAGACAATCACCTGTATAAGACAATCCCCTGTTTTTACACTGTAGTGACACTCTGTAAGACAGCCACCTGTCTGAGACAATCACCTGTTCTTACACTGTAGTGACACTCTGTAAGACAGCCACCTGTCTGAGACAATCACCTGTCTGAGACAATCACCTGTATAACACAATCACCTGTATAAGACAGCCACCTGTCTGAGACAATCACCTGTATAAGACAATCACCTGTATAAGACAATCACCTGTCTGAGACAATCACCTGTATAAAACAGTCACCTGTATAAGACAATCACCTGTCTGAGACAATCACCTGTTTTTACACTGTAGCGACACTCTGTAAGACAGCCACCTGTCTGAGACAATCACCTGTATAAGACAATCACCTGTATAAGACAATCACCTGTCTGAGACAATCACCTGTATAAGACAATCACCTGTCTGAGACAATCACCTGTATATGACAATCACCTGTCTGAGACAATCACCTGTCTGAGACAATCACCTGTCTGAGACAATCACCTGTTTTTACACTGTGACGACACTCTGTAAGACAGCCACCTGTCTGAGATGACAACCACTTTTCTCCTCTCCAAGGGGTGGCCGTCTTAGACAGTTTTGACCCTGTTATTGTTATTATTGTTGTTATTATTATTATTATTATTATTATTATTATTATTATTATTATTGATACTATTATTATCATCATTACTGTTGTTGCTATTATTATTATTATTATTATTATTATTATTATTATTTTATAATCATTATTATTATTGTTATTACTATAGATTATTATTATTATTATTATTATTATTATTAATATTATTATCATTGTTATAACTATAACTATTTTTATTATTATTATTATTATTTTTATTATTATTGTAATTATTATTTGGTATTGCCCCTCAGATGGGAGAATTTAACTGGGATGAAGAGACACAAGGCTACGTCCTGGGTGCCTTCTTCTACGGCTACATCGTGACTCAGCTGCCTGGCGGCTGGCTGGCCTCCAAGATCGGCGGCAAAAATCTGTTTGGCTACGGCGTTCTCTGCACGTCCCTGCTCACTCTGGTGACGCCCGTGGCTGCGCGGTACAGCGTGTACCTGTTCATTGCTGTACGAGTGCTGGAAGGAATTGGTGAGGTACGACGATGGGTCACGTGCTCCCCGCTCCCCCCCCCCCCCCCCGGTCTCCTCCTACCGCACACCACGCGTACACACATACACACGCATGCACGCACTCACATGCATACACACACATACAAACACACACACACATATACATACACACACTCACACAGACATGCATACACGCATGTATACATGCACCACACACTCATGCATGCTCGCACACATGCAGACATGCGCATACCCACACACATGCTTACTCACAGGTTTTCACGCACGCATGCACACATGCACACATATACACATACACATATACACACACATATACATACACACACTCACACAGACATGCATACACGCATGTATACATGCACACATATACACATACACATATACACACACATATACATACACACACTCACACAGACATGCATACACGCATGTATACATGCACACATATACACACACATATACATACACACACTCACACAGACATGCATACACGCATGTATACATGCACACATATACACATACACATATACACACACATATACATACACACACTCACACAGACATGCATACAGGCATGTATACATGCACGCACACAGGCACGCAGGATTGCACATACACACACGACGCATGCACTCACGTTTTCACACATGCACACACACCCACACGCGCGCACACACGCACACGCGCGTACACACACACACGCGCACTCTCATATACCTCACCCGTTTGTTTCTTTTTTTGTTCATTTAACTAATGATTATTGTAAATGTGGGTGTTTGGCAGGCGGTGCTCTGGTGTGGTTTACTCCTTCTTTCCTGATGAACTTCTATCATTCTTATCTCTCCTCTTTTTTTTCTGTGTTTAGTACTATCTTGAAACACCTCTAATCTACGTTACTTATGTGGCCTAATTATGTTGCAAGTGCAATAAAACTCTTACTAAAACAGACAAACAATTGTTTAGATAGAAGATATTATATAGTCATCATCACCATCATCACTACTTTTCTCACCCTGGATCAGGATATAGATGACAAACAAACACTTTCCACCTTTCCCCACCCTGGGCTAGCCTCTTGATTTTGTTCCATGTTTTCCCAGCTATCTGTTCATCGTTCTCTGTGACTGTTATACAGTAAGAAGATGTGACTGCAGCGCAAAGTAACAAATTGAGTAAAGGTCTTGTTCAGGTCTCTCTTCTTAAAAAAAGTTAAAATCACCTTTGCGTGCCACGGCGTTACCTCATTCGGGACGCAGGTTTTGGACCAGCTTTGCATCTAGAGACACGCGATTTTGGGTCAACTTTGAAAGTCTGCCATTTATTTCACTTTTAATATTTTTAAAGTCTGTTTTCACTATCTACACATTCGACATTTGGACTTTTCCTTAGATCTAAGCCAATTTGCCTAGATATAATCCTAATCTTGCCAGGACCCCTACAAAAATGGTGTGAGACCCCCCCACCCTCAAATTTTTCTCCCTCTAAGTTGACAGTAACGAATGCAGAAACAAACAAGATAAAGTTACAACACAACTACAATGCAGCCTACAGCACACCACAACACAATTTACAGTCAAAATACTGTGAAGAAATAGTTCCGGTCACTGCAAATAGTCCTTCTTTGTATAGTACTCCTCGAAAATCAGTGTCTTTGTTGCCTTGACTGCCTTCACAAATCGCCATAAAAAATTACCAAAAAACAACGCTGCATGGTCAAGGGTAAATAGATACAAAATAGAAATGGCTTAGCAATGTCAAACAAAAGTTTTTTCCCTGGAATACCTTGATTTGTGCTCCCACAACAGTTGAGAAATGTAACAGACGTATATGTCCGATGCATCTCCATCGGAGCTCAAGCCTATTGGACGTATACATCCGATGCGTCCGGAATGAGTTAACTCGGTGGTGGCTGCAGTGTGTCCTTGAGCAAGACTTGATAACCCTGACTCAAAAACAGAGCGCTGCACAGTGGTAATCAGCAATCATCATCATCATCATTATCGCTTTTTTCACCCTGGATCAGGGTATAGGCAATGAACAAACACTCTCCACCTTTCCCTATCCTGGGTGAGTCGCTTGATGTTACTCCGTGTCTTCCCACTTTACTGAACATCCATTTCTGTGACTCTTCTCCTAGTTCCATGCGGTCTTCCACGTGATCTTTTACCCTGTGGGTTCCAATCTAACACTTTCCTTGTTGTGCAGCTGCTTGACTTCCTGAAAGTGTCTCCAATCCATCGACAATGCCTTCTTCCCACCTCCTCTCTGACTCGGCTGTCTCGTTCTTCTTAATACTTCCTCGTTGGTGATCCTGTCTGTCCATCTGATCTTCAGTAGCTGCCTCAGACACTTGTTCAAGAAAATGTGGATCCTCTTTATGCACGTCTGAGATGCGTTCCATGTCTCACATCCATACAACAGTGGTGATCAGCAATGGCATGTTTGTAAAATTGTCTGTATATTTATGTGATATTGTGAATGGTTGAACCTGACCTAGCGGTTTCCTTACCAAGAGAATCACCTGTACGAATGACCACTTTCCATTTTCTCCCTTGCTCTTCTTTTTCTTTCTATATTATAATGTCACTGTCCGAGCCATTAGTTTGTCTAAAACATCCACTTTTGTCTTTGGCAGTGAGAGGCTGTTGTATACAATTTGACTGTATGTGGTAACTTTGATAAAATATTCTGTAAATGTAGATTTGTGGATTTGGAGTTTATGTGTGCATGTGTGTGTGTGTGTGCATGTGTATATGTGTGCATGTGTATGTGTGCGTGTATATATGTATGTGTGCATGTGTGTGTGTGCATGTGTATGCGTGCATGTGTGTGTGTGCATATGTGTGCTCATGCCATCTTAATCTTAGTTTGCCTTTGTGAAGGGAATAAATAAAGTGGATTTTTATTTTTTCATTTAAAAAACTATCCACAGGGCGTCACTTTCCCAGCCATGCACGCTATCTGGGGTAACTGGGCCCCGGTGTGGGAGAGGAGTAAGCTGGCTGCTTTCACTTATGCTGGTGAGTCGATGGATCAGTATATTAGGCCTGCCAACTGTTCTGAATTTCCTGGGACTTTCTTCTCCGATTTGGGAAATTGATAACCGTATCATATTTGCAGCACCAAAACTAGTCATTTTTTACCTAATTATATTCATCTGTAATATTAATTGTTTCTCAATCGGATGTTATAACCTTGTGTATACCTGATTGGATTCTTGAAAAAGCTGGCAAGCGTGATGTAATGATGATAGAAATGCTGTAAATATCACTGTCCGATGATGACTCAAGTATGTCATTGAAAGCCGAAAGTACTCCAAAGAGTTTAGTATACACTCATTCCCTTGTGATAGTGTGACATTATTTTTTACTTATTCACTTTTGTAATGGCTTTGGCATTGGTCTATTGACGTTTGTGGTGTAATGTTCAGGCTCTTCATCTTTTGCACAAAAGACATGAGTTCAACTCTCGCTTTGGGATGAGTATTTTGATCAAGTAGTCCTGTATAATTTTTTTCTGAGATGCATTTTCTGGCTGAGCCAGGGTATGTTGTTGAGTGGGGATAATATGGCTCTTTTCGTCTGTGCAGACGGTCAATTTAGCTTAAGATGGTCTCAAGGTTGTCTTTATCCAGCTTCTTTCATGGCTAATTCTTCCTATGTTTGAAGCGCAGATTCTGTTGCAGTGCTTGCATGTCAGTGTCACAAATCATAGATCATCATAGATTGAGTGGGGATATGCGCAAAATAAATGCCATTATTATTGTTATTATCATTATCATTATTATTTTTATTGCTGTTGTTGTTCTTATTATTATTATCATTGATATCATTATTGTTATTATTATTATTATTATTATTATTATTTCTATTTTATTTCACTATCATTTATGATTGAGGCATTGGTAATCTAATGGCCATGCTATCGGTCTTCTAGTGTGATGCGATCAAGAAGAATGAGAAGCAGGAGAAGATGAAGAAAAAGAAAAAGGCTGGTAGACGTGTCAATCTCTATCATAATCTCCCCCGTCCCGCCCCCACTCCCGATCGTGGGTGTGTCATGATCAGTCTGTATATACAATTTTACCTTGTGGTGTCTGTGGTTGAGTGGTTTGGCTCGTGAACTCTTCAACCGTAAGGTCATGGGTTCAGATTCCATCAGGGACACAACGCTGTGTACTTGGGAAAGGCACTTTACACAAATTTTCCTCAGGTGGGAATGGGTTGTTGTTGTTGTTGTTTTCAAATCCCTTTAGCTACGAGCATTTCGCTCTTGGCAGCGCAATGCCTCCCTCAAGTAACCACATGTCCTTGTCATCTGGTCAACGCCAGAGTAGACCAGGCTTTGTAAGTCTGTAGGTGTATGTAGGAGCCTGCGTCGAAGAACTGCCAGGTTTGGGCGGTGAAGGAGAAGATGTTCAACGGTCTCCTCGTGGTAGTCACAGTGTCTGCAATGGGGTTCCCACATGGGGTTAATATTCTGTTTATGTGGTGGGAATGGGTATTTGGCTATAGACAGTGAAAGGTCATGTCATTTTGCTAGTGTTTGAGCACTCAATCAGCTGCTTGCACTGTATGCTTCCCGAGAAGCTGAGAATGTTTTAGAGTGTTGTTGTGTCAGCCGGGATAATAGAAGTTTGAAATCGCAGACAGTTTTGCTGTACAGTGGGGATGTAATTATTATTATTATTATTATTATTGTTGTTGTTGTTGTTGTTGTTTTT